TAATAAATTGCAAAGTATTATGCCATGTAAGAACACTTTACCTTGAAAATGAAGGAGATTTCTTTAAAATGAACTACAGAAAATAAAACAAGGAATTTTGTATTACCATATTTAAAAACAATTTTTCAGAAAAGAAATAATTGCATTTCAGAATTTATTAGAGTACATCAGTAAAAAAGTAATGAGTGAGCATCCACTTTTATGATTATGCTGAATTGTATTATAAAATCTATCAGCAATATAAGAGAAGACTGGAAAAAATGGCTGGGATACACAGTTTTAGTGTATTTTGCTGTCCTTGCTCTTCCATACCTATAAAATTTTCAATTTAGCAAAAGGAAAAGAATGTAAAAGAAATCATGGAGAGCTAAGGCATTGCAAAGGAAATAGTCAAAATAGATTGGTAGCCAGCTACTCTATGGCAGGTTGGCATTTTTAGCACGCATCATAGGTAATTGTGAAACAGAGGAAAAATAGCTATTAATAAACTATTTCCAGCAGTTTCATACAGGACTTAACATTTTACAGTTCAGCTCCTGAGGATGGATATAGCTGTGATAACCACAAGTTATGTATTACTTTTGAGTCATATAATGCTGTAAGAAAATTTTACTCTGTGATTAAAATTCGTCCCTAAACCTTCATGAGCAGTGATGCCTTCATCAGCCCAATGCAAGGTCTGTACTTTTTTCCAACAGCAGCAAAGGGCCACAACTAAATGAATATACTTAATGAATATACAGAGATGGCAGAATGCAACTGCAACTGGACTTTTTTGATTATGTTAATAAGATGAAAGGAAATACTAGAGACTGGCACATCTGAAGCTTAATTTCTTTCCGTTGCTTTAAGTGTCCCTTTTGAAGAGCATTTCTAGCTGAAATGTGAAGTTTATTCAAAAAGCCTCAAATGCATCTTTCTAGAATTTAATGCTATATAAGCATTTGGCTGACTACAGTTATTTGGAAGAAATGGGTCTTTAGAGATCAACAGTGTGGTGTGATTAATTGATCTAGTGAGGTCAGTGAACAAGTGAACAAGTTCCAGAGAGATGTCATTCAACATTATAGCGGTATCTAGACTCCTAAGATCTTGAATATATTACGTATTCATATACGTATACATATTTGTGTGTGTGTCTTATATTGTGTGCATATATACATATATAATCTGATCTGTGTCTAAATCAGAAAGAATAATATTTTCGCTTTTTTTTAACATTTCTGGGGTTAATTTCACTTTTGATTGGGTCTTCCAATGCCTTGCACTTCCGATGTGAGTGGTCACATCTCACAGGGACTGTCAGTGGAAGTCCCAGCTCATACTTGCTTAGAGTAGGATTTGAACCTTTAAATCCTTAAGGTTAATTGCTGTTACCTCCTTAAAGAAAGTTAGATCATTTCCTGTCATTTAGTTCACTCTGGAAGCAGTAGCACCCACTAACTATGTAAATTAGGCCATGTTAGATTGCTTCAGAAGTGAAGTTATATGGATTGAAGAGCACAAGTGTACTTTCTTGCTCTTAAGTTCAGACAGCAAGAAGAGGCCAAGACTACCTCAGATGCTCTCAAGGAGCTCTTTTATGCTCCTGTTTCCCATTTCTATCCACAGAAAAATTCCTGTACAGTTCCTCCCATCCTTTTACCTCTCAGAGTGTATCCACACCACTAAATAAAAAAGGCCCAGGAAATAAGCTTATGCATGACACCTTTGGCGGGTAGAAAGGGAGAATAATCTAAAGAGAATCATGGTGTCTTCCTGTTAAATGTTTTCACATTAAGAACAGAGACTGTGCTCCTCAGAAAATGTAGGTTTGTCTCCAACCTTCAGAAAAGCAATCATATTATTTCTGGTTGAAGCACTACCTTGGCTTCGTGCGGTTGAGCTGTCTTTTCTGCAGTAACTTAGAAGAGTCTGTGGGGAAAAATCCTTGTTGGGCAGTGTTCACACTGCTTTATGAAGGAAAGTGTAGAAATTCCCAGGATTTGTGCTGAACTTCAGAAGTAGCAGAGCAGTGTGTTTGCCCAGGGCAGCACTAAGGAGGCACCCAGTGCTTTCAGTGCTTGGGCGTGCGCTCTGTGTGCACTGCTCCGTGATGTGCACTGGAGATATGTTTTGGGTCACATTGACAGTAATTTTCTTGCTTTCCTGATTACACTGGTTCCATGTAATTTGGGAAAGTCTAGTCAGCCTGACACATCCATAAATTGAGTATATTTAAAATCCTATAGAGGTCATATATAATATTTGTGATATTATTATGGGTTGTACTAGCTGTCTCATGCTACACACCGGAATCCTTGCACTTGTTGTGGTGATCTGATAAATCAGAAATGAGATGTGTTTGCCCTTCCAAGAGCTATTTGGAAAGTCAGCATGAAGCAAGAGATTCACTTAATTTGCTGCATTAAAAACTTATGTGGTAAAACTTTCATGTCAACAAATAGCAGTTCACAGCACAATAGTTAGACCCATAAGAACTGATTTTTCCTACTTTTTCCTTTGAAGTTTTGAAGTGACCCTGTTCATTTTTCCCAAAGAGAGAATGAAGTAAACAAAGTCTGATGTGATAATCCTTCCATATCCACTGAATTCCCTAAGGTAACTGTGAGATTATTACATTTCATGCAAATGAAAACAGATTTCACAAGTTTCAACAGCAGGTCACAATTTCATTGGTTCATAATCAATAAAGTGTAGGTGTTTGCAGATGTATATATTGTTTCTTAGTTTTGAAACCATGAAATATGAGTACTAGGCATTTTTTGTGCATCTATTATGATTATCAATGCAACTTTAAAATAGTCTCTTTTGAAGGATTGACATGGCTTTTCAAGAACCCTGAATACATTCTGAATGCATTTCATATTATTTTTACTCCTATAGTTTGTGAAGTTTGTTTAATTTTTGCAATTCATCATTCCTTATAGTGAGTGCTTCCAAAAGTGTTTTTTTAACTCTACAGTGAGACTCTGTGATGCCAATGCAGAGACCTTTTTATATCAGTGGGTCTCCAGTGACAACTATCTTCAGGCCTTATGGCAAGGCAGGGCCTCATTTTTTTAATATTTGTACAAAATAGTTTTTGTGGGTGGATTGATTGATTTTGAGTATTTGCACAGTAGAGTTGAAGCTTTTGATGCCTTTGAAGCAAAATCCCTATTGTAATGAAAGTTTTACACAGATGGAGATTTAAGGTTGTAGTAGGGTTAACATGACTAATGGTTTAGTTCTTTGTATATTGTCAGTGTAATTTTATTTCTTATATAAGTCTTGGCCAACTATTTTTCCTTTTTTATTCCTTTTTTTTTAAGACACAAATGCACTGATAGTATGTAACTTATGAATGAGGCACCAACATGTTATTGAAATTGTTGGGTTGTGATCTGCCAGCAAAATACCTGTGCAGCTCTGAATGTGGAAAAAAATATGGTGTGTTCCAGACTGGTCTCAAGCAAGCACTTCATAAAATAGAGGGTGAAAGTTACAGGGAGGAGTGAGAGCACCATTGGACCTGCTCAGCTTCATACATCTGAGGCAGCTCATAATCACTGCTGCCAAAAACCTGCCCTGGGAACTCTCAGCACAGCAGATAGAGATGGAAGCAGCACAAGAGGCCACATTAGCTGGCATCTGGTCTGTCTTTGAAAAAGAGTTTTCTGACAGTTTGGACTGCTGTGAGGCAGTGCCAGCTTGCTTGCCTTTCTAGTGCCCCTCCAAAGTTCTGATAGGTTTCAGATATTCCTGTAAAATGCTTACATCGAATTGCAGCAGCCTTTTTCTATACACTAGTGCTGTCAAAAAATGTTCATGTAATAATTTTATTTGAAGTCCTTCCTCACAACAGATGTTTTTTAAAACAGTTCTTTTATTGGTTTTCCCACTTCAGAATAAAATTTGGAAATGAGAAACAAAAGTTTTCTTGTTTTTCAGAGGTATCAGTGTTCTAAAATGGTTCCTTGCACAAGTGGGGCTCTTCTTCACAAATCTGTGTATCAAATTTATCTTTCCTTTAAGAACTTGTCAAGTTGTCAGCCTCTTCTAAGGTCACGGACTTTCCCCAGTTCTAGTAATCCTTACAGGAAATGGACCACATGTTTATTGTCTTTGGTATTCCACTGTTCCTTTTTTTCTGTCCTTTCAAGAAGTATTGCCATCTGTTGCTTTCCAGATTATTTTTAGATATTCTCTAATTTCTCCTTCATCACCATTCAGTTTTTTGATGAGTTTTTTTAAATAAGAAAAAAGAAATCTCTAATGCTCTCAAAAGCATTAAGCAAGACAGGGTTGAAATGCAGTTATCTTACTATCAAATATTCTTGTGTAGTTCTCTTTTCTTTTAATTGCAGCCTCTGAGCACATTTTTACTCACCATCAATTACCACTCGTTATCCTGCTCATCTGGAGTAATGGCATGATGGCAAAGGAGAAACAGAGTTAAAAGATAAAGGAATTACATTGTAAGAATTCACTATGCCCTTATGTGAAGAATGAAAACTCTGAGATGCTTTTGATGGTGGAATACAGTGAGCTGGGCCAAGGTTGCCCGGCACAGTCTTGTTCTATAAACACCTAGAGCAAAACCTGTCAGGCCACGTGTCATGGTTTGACCCCAGATGGCAGCTCAGCTGGCTTTTTGTGCTGGTGGGGTGGGGTGAGAAAGAAAAAGCCTTGGCTCTGTGTAAGTGCTGCTCAACAATAACAAAAACATCCCTGAATTGCCAGCACTGTTTCCAGCATAAATCCAAAACAGAATTTCATGCTAGCTACTATGAAAAAAATTAACTCTACCCAGCCAACCCCAGCACATCATGATCATGTGTCTCATAATCCCAGCTAGACATGAACTGGCCTATTCAGATGTCATGGTGCCACATCCCTAAAGGATATTAAAATATGTGTTTAAATATAATGCTTGAAGATAAATCCAACTTCCACATTAGTATGAGTGCATGTAACACAGGAAGGCAATAAATGATCTTTCCTTCTGTTATTTTCAGAACCAAATTTTGTGTCATCTTATGATATTGGGAACTTTACCTACTTCTTCTTCCGGGAAAACGCAGTGGAACATGACTGTGGGAAGACAGTTTTCTCTCGTGCTGCGCGGGTGTGCAAAAATGATATTGGTGGCAAGTTTGTGCTGGAGGATACCTGGACTACCTTCATGAAAGCTCGTCTGAACTGCTCTCGCCCTGGAGAAATTCCATTTTACTACAATGAACTTCAGAGTACTTTCTTTCTGCCAGAACTGGACTTGATCTATGGCATTTTTACCACTAATGTGTAAGTAGCTGAATGATAGATTTTATTTTCATGTTGTTTGTGATGGCAAAACCTAGAACTTCTGAGCTACTCTCTTCTGCATATGCCGAGTAAACATCATAAATTCAAACTACCGTTTTGCTCAATCCACTGTTTTCTGTGAACAAGTATCAGTTCCAAATGTTTCCCACATGAATTGTTGAAAACACGAGAGAAGGAATAAATTCTTATTATTTCCTTACTGCAGGGAGCCAGTTGCATTTAAGACTGTTCTGTCATATTCCTCACTTATTGCGAGGAAGTAATTAACTTTTATTTTTACTTTTGTAATACGTAAATGCATTATGTATTTATGAAATAAATAATTTATAATTATAATGTGACACGATCATGAATTTGATGTGATGGAAATTGACCATGTCATGGAGAACTCATCTTACCCAAAACAGTACAAGAGGTGCTCTTAGGTATTTTAATATAGTCCTAAAATGTCCTTACATGAGTTTGAAGGTCAAACCAAGAATTTAACCTAATTTTAAGTGAACCTGTTATATCAATAAGGTAAAATTAAAGAAAAAAATAAAAGTACAGTTTGGTCTTAAAAATTCAGATTTGTTAAACATTGAAAAGTTGGATGGAGATAGGAAAAAGGAGACATCTCAGAAATGTCCTTTGTAAATTTAAATGTGATGACTGGTGTTCAAATGCTGCTCAGTGAGGGCAACCTCTGCGTTTTGAGTGTGCAGCCCAATGTTCAGACCACTGGAATAATTTCCGATTTTGAGTTCCAATTCTCCGACCTTCTTGTACAGTCTTGCTATGTAAATCAGTTTTGTCTAAAATTTTAAAAGGTCCTTGGGCACCTAAAATGTAGGTAAGGCACCCTTGAGCGCAGGGATACCTACCTTTTATAAATATTTATTGACCAGGTGGAAGCATTCACAAGTTAATACCAACAAAGTGTAATACCTGTACATTTTAGACAGTGAGCATGAATTTGAGCTTCTTTAGGCATCTTCCAGACTGAGGCTCACCCCTGAGCTGGCAGTTCAGGCTGTGAACAAGACTAGTGGTGCTTGCACCAGGCTGTGGCAATTCCTAACTCGTGACGTTGGATGATGAGCTCAGCCTGTTTCTGCAATGGAGTAATGTAGGGAATCTAAACTCTGTTTATGTAAAGAGAGTAGCAGAGAGTTGGAGATTACTGGGGATAAGAACATTTGCTGTTGTTTCGAACAGTACTTTTAATCTTGTTCTATTTTCCTAGTTAGTTCATATACTAAAAGACAGGTATTTGTCAGGTGGCATCCACATACATTCTTCAACCAGACCTTTCTTGAGAAGTCAAAGTAGCCTAGAAATGTTCCTGCCATGAAAAGCCTGAGTAGAGGAATTCTGCTCTAGAAAATCCACAGGGCTTTGGCCACGGAAGGGGAATGATGTTCCTGATGCTTCCTGGCTCTCCTGAAAATGGACTTGCTATTGTTAAGGCTGCCTTTGCCACATGAAAGTAGACAGTATTTTAAACCTTGCCACTCCTTTCCTTTTCCCCCATGACCCAATATTCTGACTGTCCAAGATGGATGAACTGTTTGAAGAGAAACCAATTAATTACAACTGTTTGAGGGTAGGGTTTTTTAGTTTGATGGCAGGCATTCTATTTAAATGCCTCCCATCAAATGTAATAACTAAATTTTTTAGATAATTTTGAAGTATTTTAAGCTGGGATTACTTCTCCATGCTGAGTCCTGTTCATAGATAGTTTGTGGAACTCATATGATCCACCTTTCTGGCCTGAAAGTGACGGTGGAGAAACACAAGGGTTTCCAGTGATAGAGAACAACAGATTCCTTTCTGTTCATGTAACAGCATCAGATATAACTTAACAGCATTCGTAATTCTTCAGTCTCAATATCTTCAGAATTTCAATGACTTTATTGGATCTTAATTCTTTTTTAGTATATTGTAATATAGTTATGGAGGGCAAAACTGGAAACATTTCTCTAACAGCCAAACCTGCACCTTTTATGCATGGTTGACTATCAAGTCCACTATAACCACTGCTTCATGAAAAAGCTAATTTTGTTTCTTTCAGACTATCAAAAAAATTTATAAACATGAGTCTCATGTCCTCATAGGACTTCATTAAATTCAAAAAACCATTGGTACAGTTACTAATATGAGTGAGATGCATTTAGTGATATAAGCAGGGATTTATCAGCTCCAATGATGATTGATTCTGCAGAAGTTGTAAGCACAAAATTTCAAGTTTTGGGCTTACTTTCAGCTTCCTTTGAAATAAGAGAGACAAACATAAGAAAGCAAATTGTTCTTTTGTCCTGGTATTTAATCCATATATCCTAACTCTTTTTTCAGAGGCTGGGTTTTTTCCCATCATTATGAAGTTTCTGTAGTAGGTTTTCTTAAGCCTTGTGTAAATTCCAGGCTAAGCTTAAAAAAAAAAAATAGGGGGAAAAAAAACCAGAGAAGAATGCTGTGTGGATCAGTTGCCAGCAGTTTTAGCTGTAACAGGAAATCTGTGCAATTGACACCTTCATTATCTATTCCATTATCTCAAAATGAGGAAAAGAACAATGCAGCTTTCCATATTAGGAGCTTTCATAGTTTTTAGATTATTTTCTTTATACTGTGCAGAATTACTTTACTGCCTTGTACATCACATTATCAAGGCAAACCCAGGAAATTGTGTGTTTTGTCCAGCTGCCATTTATTGATGTTTATTTTTTTTTTGACATGATATCTTGTAAGCAGTCCAAGTTGTTTTCTCTTGATGGGTTTCTACAACTTGCATTCTTATTGCTGTACAACATCTCTTGAAAGACAGGATTTTTGGGGATGTGTCTTGTCCAGCAATTCCGTAGGATTTAGAGACATACCACACATTGAAAAACCTGACTTATGTCATGCAGTCATTTGTTGTATGGAAGAAGCTTTATTGAAAACTGAGAATAATATCATCCTGAACTTTATACCTAGAAAAGAGGTGTCTCATGATATTAGAAGTAGAGTATGGTATTAGAGCAACAGCAGAAAGTAGGAAGTTCAGAGTTTTTCCCCACAGCAGCTTCCTGGTAAGGCTGATAAATATTTTAAATGCAATGACTTTGCTTAATCAGCTCATCATATATCGTTATCTTGAGATATCATCTCCTGGTGAAGCAGATAATATCTGCTTCATTATTTAATTGAAGGATTGAAGAGTTATTGCCTTTTTTAATTTATTTTTCAGCAATTTGACTTCTTAATATTATTACATAGGTTAATATATTTATTTCTTTTGCAGGAACAGCATAGCAGCCTCAGCAGTTTGTGTTTTCAATCTGAGTGCCATAACTCAGGCCTTTAATGGACCCTTCAAATACCAGGAGAACTCTCGCTCTGCTTGGCTTCCATATCCCAACCCTAACCCTAATTTTCAGGTATGGATATGTGGAATAAGGACAATATTTTATGTGAGCTTTCCTCAAAATACTATATGGTTCATAAATTATAAATCCAGTTTTTCATTATATGGTAGCCTAAGACCTTAAACAAACCCTAAATTTTAAAAAGTGCTAAGGAGAGTCGCTTTTGTCAACATATTTAATTTTAATTTTATCCTTCCACAAAAATATTTTGATTGAAAAATAGATGTACTTTGAAGGGTAGGAGAAAAAAGGCTTAACTTCCATCTTCTGTCAAAATGAAACACTACAAAAACACTACTAAAACCTGTCTGTCAAGGTGACATTAACTCCTGTCTGAAGTATGATCAAACTACTATTCTCTTTTACATTGTATTTTATATTAGAACTTAAATAATGGAACAGTGTCTGGCAGAAAAAAGAAAGTGAGAGGGTGGTGGTAAAGGAGGAGTGGTCAGAATTTTATATATTTTTGTGTGGAAGGTGGTTCACACTCCCTGAAGAGTCAGATTAAAAGAATTTGTGACATGTTCTTCCCCTCATTTGAACTTGTTTGCCTCAGAGGGTGTAATAATCTGAAGCTGTCTGACAGTGTAAAACCAGTTAGTCCAAGGTGGGTTATTTAGAGGAACTCTGCAAAAAGAAAGGAGTATTTCAGTAAGCACATATGCGTTGTTTTCATATTTTTCATAGTCACCACTCCTACCAGGACAATTTTAATGAGCATGCTTCTTGCAAGGGATATGGAAGGAAAAGCAGCATTAATGTTGTGATTAACAACAATAGCTTTTCATCAAGGTATTTAAGTGTAGTCACCTCTGTCCACCTTTCAGCCTCACATAATCTCAATTCCATTTCACAAGTTCACATCTGCTCCTGGAACAGCCCTCCCTAGCTTGTAAGAGTCAGAAGATCTTTGCTAGCATGAAAAAGAATCACCCATTGGGGATTGTAGGTAGTTTTAATTACTTCCTGATCTATGCAAATGAAGGGAAATAAGGCACAGGTTACAGGCTAGAGCCATGTTACCTTTCCTAAGTAGTGTGTTTGTTATCAGCCAAGTGACAAGACTCTAACTACGCCAGAAGCCCGCACAAGCAGGCTCTATTTTTATGCAGCTTTTCACCTGTTGTAGAAATACTTGTATTGTCAGAATAGTGATATGAAGAGGGTCTAAGAGAGGCTAAATTTTTGAAGGAGAACGCCTGAAAAAATGCTTGTATGTAAAAATCCTATCACCTTTCTGACTAGGTAAGCACATCCAATAAAACTTATTAAACTCTCCCTACAAACTTTGCATTAATGTGGTGTTAATTATTGTGAGAGCAGCCCATGCTGAATGGTACTTACAAAGAGAGATGACAGCCTGATGGCTGTGTAAAAACAGTTTAAGTCTCTGCTGTGCTGTTAGTGCACGTCTCCAAGTCCCAATCAAAACAGATGTTGAAATTTATTTCTTAGGTGGCCTGGCTGATTTTAATACAGGTGGTACTTCATCCAATTTACAAGAACAGTGACAACAGTTGTATCGTATCTCACTGAGCCACAAACAGCTTTGAAGGCAGAGCTAGTGTTAAGAGCTGTAATGCGGTCTTTTACTACACAATATTGAAGGCAATTGATGTCAACTGATCTCTAGGTATCTCTAATGTCCAACTTCTTTTGCTGATGTTGCTTTTTATTTCCTTGAATAACTTTCTGCTACATTTCTGGCTCCATAACTGCAGCAGTGATGCGTACTAGAAGCTAGTCTAATACTTAGAGATTTAACCATTTTTTGTGACTTGACTACGTGACTTTAGAATACATACCTCGCAAGGATGAGATATATTCATTGACTGAGTCATTGGTTTCCTTCAGAGAAAGGACTTTTCTTTGGTAGAGTTGTTATGATAAAGGACCAGAAGTTCTGTTTGTGTAGTCCTAGAAGTAGATTTATCCTCTGAGTATTCACTGACTCAGTAGCAGCAGAGAGAAGTCTGTGGTTTGAAGGAAGACTACTGCTATGTAGCTATAGTAGCATCAGATGTTATATTTCCATGGTGGGTTTATATTAATGAATTACTTTCCATTTTAGAATATATTGGAGTCCCAGTTTTGAGGAGCATTGTTTTCTTCAGAGATCATTGCTTTTCTCTTTAGACAGGGCAATGTCTATCATAAGACCAAGGACCATGTGCATTTCAGTGTACTATGGGTATTCAGCTGGAATTTTTCCTGCTTGATAGATCCAGAGAACTTCTTTGGTGTGGTTTATTTTTTTCACTGGTCTGACATACAGAGCAGGTAACTGTTTCCTGCCAGTTGCTAATTTATCATTCTTCATTATCTGATCTCCCATCATGAAATAATTTGTTTGAATTTTTTTTAGCATTTATGGAACAATCACTCAATTTTGGATTGAAAACATGGTAATAATAATAATGAAAAAAAATGGTATGGTTTTGCACACTACTATTTTGCTCATGCTGTAATTCTTGGCATAGTTTATGACATAGTAAAGCAGAACGAAAATGGTGACTTAGTTATGCCTTTCACGTCACCCAAATATTTGATAAATGTTGTGAAGTAGTGCTTTACTTCTCTGATGCATTTATTCCTGAATAAACATGTAAATGTTTATATACTCTTATGCATTAAGAAGCTTTCCCTTTTGTTTCCTCAGTTGAACGCAAATATGTTGAAGTTAATTCCCAGTTATTTTGCTTTGTTTATTTGTGTTTGAAACTTGTCCATGCAGCTAGTGGATGTTTTTCTGTAAGAAAAGAGCACTGTTTTCATAGTTAAAATATAGTCAGTTTTAAAGAAAAAAAAAAGTCTTTGCTGTGGATAATATTTATATAGAGCTTTGCACTGTCCATTTTTGCTACTGAAGATGGAGTCCTAAGAAGCTACTAGAACTGCATGTTGTACTTTCACCTGGGATTCCTGCCAGACCCTGGATGTGGTAGGGTGTGGGGTTTCCTTTGAAAATTTGTTATATCATTAGCACTAAGGTCTATGAAAATTGTAAAGAAAACTAGACAGAAAATAATTTGGTTTTTTGAATGGTAGTTTTTCTCCTTCCTGCCCTATGAACATAGGATACGGCAAAATATTTCCATAATCCACTTGTGCTGGTCAGTCTGGTGCTCTTCCATATTGTTTAGAACTGGGGGGCCTCCATAGTACTGCCTCAGGAAAACTGAGCTCCCTGAGTCCTTGGACAGTCTGGTTAGCATCAAAATGGGACCTGAAAGTTGAATTCCACATTGTCATTATAAGATATGCTCTTGCTTTTATTTTCTTGTGCTGTAAATCAAAGAGTAAATCTATTGTTACTGTTGGCACATATAGTCATGCTACTTTTCTGTCTTTACAGTGTGGCACCATGGACCAAGGTTTGTATGTAAATCTGACTGAGAGAAATCTTCAAGATGCACAAAAATTCTTCTTAATGCATGAGGTTGTTCAACCAGTTATTCCAATTCCTTACTTCATGGAAGACAACAGCCGATTTTCCCATGTGGTTGTGGATGTTGTGCAGGGCAAGGACATGCTTTTCCACATCATGTACCTTGCTACAGGTATGAATCTTCCTTGCTGTGATAACTGCAAAAGTTTATAAGATCTTTGGTGTTTTAATGTTCTGTTAATTACTTATGAAATACATGTATGCCTTGAAAGTCAGCTTTTCCTCTTTGGCACAATCACCTATCTTCTACTTTTTCTGAATAGATCAATTTAGCTATTACAATGTCTTTATGTTGTTTTGTGAACTCAAATTTTGGTGTCTGTTTCCTATTCTCCTTGAAGCTGTGAAGCTTGTAAATCAAATCAAGCGTTGGAAATTCTACAAACAGGACTTCCAAAGTTTCACCATCTTTTGTTCCATTTACTTAGTTAAGGGTTCAAAGTTAAGGGCCCAAGACAAGATTGTTTAGGACTGTCTGATAAAGAAGTAACTTTGTAAATATCAAATACAGCTGCTCTTTCTATTTTGGAATTTTTTTCTCAAATATATTTTTTTAACTTTCCTTTTCATCTCATTTTTAAGATATTCATTATGCAGTTTTATACCCTGCCTCATTATTTGTCCATTTATATGTAAGCTTAGTATGAAAAAAAACCCAGCACTTCACTTTGTATTGCCTTGGTTAGAGCTATTGCCTTCTTGGTTCAAAATTTCAATCTTCTTAAAAATAATGAGGGTGTTGGAGAACTGTACTGCAGAACAAGGATGTCCCCAGCTGAGACTGAAATACTAGATTGTACTAATATGCTTAAAGCCTCATGACATAAAACTTAGGATAGTTCTTAAGTACTTGGGCTTATGCACATTAGTAGGGAATGGTTCATCAAAGCAATGGTTTGTAAATGTTCAGTTTGTCTCGCTGTTTGTCTCCTTGAAAGTTGGGCAGTAACAGAAAAGCTTTTGATATGTTAAAATATGCTTGGATTTTACCAGTTCTAGTCAAAACAACCTGCTGGCTGGTAAATCAGAGCATTTTAAGTGAAATCATGCCAATGCTAAGTGGTGTTTGTATTGTAGAGGCCTCCTGACCAAACCTGAATTACAGATACATGCACTGAGTTGATTTTATATGAAGAGACTATCACTGCATTGTGCATATTTACATTATTTGCAGTCTTGGAAGCACAAAGAGTAATGACTTTTGCCATAATTCTGATTGTCTTTAGGTTTCAGTTTCCCTTGATGTGTAACCATTTACATTTGAGTCAGCAAGTGAGGATCTAAAATTTTATGCTTCATGGTTCATTAATAAATTGTGTTTGGGAGTGATTCTTTTTGTGCTGCTAAAAAAAAGATACTGCTCCTATGCTCCTTGTGATATATGCTTGCCTTTCACTTTCATTCTTCCCTGTATGTCTGGTTTTGATCAGTCATGGAAGCAGGGTACAGCAGCTGGATCTTTATTCTAAACTCTGCACATGCTTTCCTGTAAGTGGACAGTATATGTTTTATAAGTGTGAGAAAGCATATGATAAAACCCCCATTCTATTCTCGCCCTTTTCTTGATGTAGTCAATTCTATTTCACATGTATTTCACTGAATCACAGTGAATATTGTTAACATTCCTTCTACCCCAATGGAGTGTAAGTGTTAAGACTTGTTTTCTAAGAAATATTAATACTCACTTTTGGTAGAATTTGAAATTACCACGTGTTTGTATACAAATACCACAGGTACACTGCAAAAGTGTAGTTTAAAAATCCCAAGATAGATTACACAGCATGATTTATTTATATATTAAGATTTTAGGAGAAAGGTGGGACTTTGCCTTTTCTGGGGTACAGCTCATAATTTTTATTTCATTATATTGTTAATTGTGCAGCATCTTATTTCTCCTGAGCCCTGCCTTTGCTTATGTAGAAACTGTGGAGTAGTTAGCATTGAGTTTTCATCATAAGCTGAATATGGTAAAAGATTACTGAGAAAACTGCCACTACTTCTGTAAGCAACAGAAAGTAAAAGGCAGCAGCCTTAACTTTGAAAATAAATGATCATTTTGGAAACAACCCAAGTTTAAGGCTTTTGAATTTCCCCAGTGTCCAGCTTTACTCCCACATAAAATGTCCTTTACCCCAAGCTCCTAACATTATAGAGCGTGCGTGTGTTTGGGAGAGATGAAAGATTGGGCTGACAGTTACTACCAGTCTGAGAAATGTTGCCATTATATCTTTCCTGGTTTAATTTATTTGCATTATTAAAAGTGGTGATAAATTAAATTTGGAATTAAACTTTTACCACAATGCTCCATCTTTGAAAAAAAGACAAAGGAATAAAAGCTGACAAGCAGAAAAGGCCCTGGGGGTGCTGGTCAACAGCCATGAAATGTGAGCCAGCATGTGCCCAGGTGGCCAAGAAGGGCAAGGGCATCCTGGCCTTTGTCAGCCACAGTGTGGTCAGCAGGAGCAGGCTGTGATCTTCATCCTGTACTCAACCATTGGTGTGGCTGCACCTTGAAACCTGTGCTCAGGCCCTCCACTACAAGAAGGACATTGCAGTGCTGGAGAGTGTCCAGCAAAGGGCAACAGAGCTGGTGAAGGGTCTGGAGCACAAGTCTTGTGAGGAGTGGCTGAGGGAGCTGAGGTTGTGTAGCCTGAAGAAAAGGAGGGTCGGGGGAACATTATCCTCTCTACAGCAGCCTGAAAAGAGGTTGTAGCCAAGTCGGGGTCAGTCTCTTCTCATGAGTAACAAGCAATGTGACCAGAGGAAGCTGCCTCCAGTTTTGCCAGAGGAGATTTAGATTGGATACTAGGAAAAATTTCTTCATTGAAACAGTATTCAGGCATTAGAACAAGCTGCTCAGGGAAGTGGTGGACTCACCATCCCTAGAGGTATTTGAAAGACGTGTAGATGTGAGGCTTAGGGACATAGTTTAGTGGTGGATTCGTCAGTGCTGGGTTAACAATCAGACTTGATGATCTTAAAGGTCTTTTCTAAGCCAAACAGTTCTATAATTCCATGACCTGGGGAGCAGGAGCCTAGTGGGCATTTCGTCCCTGGAAAAGTCAAGAACACTTCCTTGGAGCACACTTCTCTGGGCACATGATGGAGAAAAGGGTGATTTGAAACATTTAGCATGGATTACTCAAGGGTTAAGCTCATCTGAAAATCTGATTACTTTCTGTCCTAAAACATCTGGATTTGTGCATGAGGAGAAAATAGTTAGCGAACTTTTGGCACTGTGTCCCACAATATTCATATATCCAAATTAGGATATAGGGTCTATATGGATGGGCAGCTGGATCTATAAAACCTGCTAGGATGTCAGGCTCAGAGAGTAGTTTTAATGTGATGCGTAGAAGTGATAAGGAGCCAAGTACTGTCCTATTCAACATTTTTTAATCAATGACCTGGAAGAGGACAAGGAGTGCACTCTATCATGTGGGCAGGTGGCGCCGCACGAGGGTACCAGCAGTTACACTGGAGGATGTGCCATCCAAAGGACTTAGGCATGCTGAAGGGGTGGCATCACTGCAAACACAGCCAATAGCATCTTGGGCTGTATTACTTGAAACACAGCGTGATCAAGGGAGGAGGTCATTCCCCAGTTTTGGCCTCTCCCAGTTCAAGAAGGACATGGATAAAATGGAGCAAATTCAGTGGAGAGCTGCCTTCTGTTGGAGGCTGGAGCACCATGCCCTAGGAAGGGAAGTTGAGGGAACTGGCCTTGTTCATCCTTGAGGAGAAAAGGCATTGTGGGGAGCCTGTAGGGAGTTTACATGGAGAATGGTGGCATGCTCTTCACACTGGAGCATGGTGGGAAGACAAGAGACAACAGGCAGAGAATTTCAGACTGGATATAAAGAAAAACTTTCTGATTTCTATGACAGTCAAGCAACAGGTTGTGCAGTCTCCATTCCTGGAGGTTTTTGAGACCAGACAGCAACACAGTCTCTTATACCAGTCTGTCTTTTGAGCAGAAGGTTGGACTTGAGACCTTCTGATCTTCTTTCCAACCTAAATTATCCTGTACTTATAGTATGACAGTATCATGTCAAATTTTTGGGGTAAATTGCATTTTTATTCAATGCTGTAATAATAGATGCCATTGTACTTTCTGCTGCCTCTAGGAAAGTGCATTCAACTCTGATGTAAGTTCTGCCAGTTTGCAATTTGCACTTAGCAGTGTAAAGCAGGATGGGCCCAAACCGTGCTGTGAGAAATATACACCACATAAATTTTGTAGTTATAATTCCTTCCAATGTTCTCCAAAAAATTGTCTTTTAAAATGCACAAAGCTTACTGGAAAAGTAGGCATACAGATTTGATTTAATAAAAATGAATGTTCTGCTGTCTTTGTTGTTCAAAGCAAAATTCCCATTTTTCGAAACAGATAGCCAATAGTTAAGAGAACGTTCTTTCTCTCACCTACCCACCCTGTTGTTAGAATACAAATATTACAGGGGAGAATGACCCTGGGAGCATAAAAGTATAATCTAATTTGATTAAACCTTAAATAGATGTAGTATTACTGATGTAATATTACTTTAGGAGGGACAGGGAGTAAGCAAACAAGTGCATTATTCTGCTGATTCAACAGTCTTCATTTCCTAAACCTTTGCAAAGTCATCATTCTGCTAGGAGAATCTGGTGTGCTAGGGCTTAACAGCTACTGCTTATATTAAAAATATGCTTTGGTACTTTGGAGAAACATCTTAATCTTTCACTGTACTGACTTCTAAGAGAATATGAAGGGATATATCAACTCCTACACATTTTGTACTGCTGGCTTTAGGCAAGAAGAAATCCCTGGAACAATTTTCCATGATTTAAAAAGGAAGATCAAGGAAAGCATGCATGGATGAAGTAAAGCATTCATGATATTCTGAGCTAAAAATCATCTATAACAATTCATGAAAGGTAGAGCAAGCTATAAAAACTAAATATCCTTAAAACTCTCTAAGTTTGAAAGGCTTCTTTCTTCATAAAAAAAAATCCAATCAATATATCATAGTTTGTTTCCCTTCCTTTTGTCCCTTCTCCCCTATCTTCATATTTCTTTCCTCCGTTTTATTTCTTCCCTACACTATAAGTGCCTAGATGTCCCATGGTTAA